GAGAGCAACTGTTACTTATCTGACTTCTCCTGTCTCCCAGATCTGGGTCTTTGAATGAGTCACTTCTCTTTGCCACTGTCCTCAATGCCAAATGGAGATCATCATTACAGCCACCTCACATCAGTTGTTGAGAATCACTGTTGTTGCGATGATTAAATAAATAAAAAAACACTTAGAGTAATAGCTTACAAACAATTCCTCAATGGATATTAAGTTCCATATTAATTTTAAAGCTTATTATTTCATATTAAACAAAATATAGCTGTGAAAATACTCCTGCATGTGGGATCATTATGTTCATGAGACAGCTCTAAAGCCCACATGAGAAGCTGAGTTCCCGAATTTCTCCGTCTCCCATATCTGCCAGCAACTGCAGTCCAGTCCCTTCATGGAGGCGGCTAGACTATAAATGAAATTTGGGTGCCCTGAGTCATAATCTGTGTGCTGACATCTAATTAATTTTAAAAAGCACAAAAGTACTTCCATCCTTTCGCATATGGTGTCTTAAAAAATGTCAATGAGGTGTTACAGTGTCTGATTTCTGTGTTGTTGTGTAACAGAAAAATAAAAGTCAGGTTTCATACCCAAGTCCTGAATCAACAGCACTTCACAGAAAGATAGGTGCAGAGACTGAACACAGTAGGTAAGTTTTCATATTTCTGAAGCAATGCTTTTATGTCATGGTATTTCATGGGGAACAGCTGAGTGTCTGTGAGAAACATCCCTGCCCAACCCCAAGACAGACACATTTATCCCAGAATATTTTCTTTCCAGACCATGAACCCTCTTACCCAGTCTTCCCAGCTTATATGGGGCACAGGGACCCCAGAACTGGTCACATCTGTAGCAGCTCATGAAGAACCGCAGGGAGCATCTGAGCCACCACTTTTTCTGAGAAACCAGAACCAGTCCCGCCCCTGCCCCTTGTCTGCGAACAGGGACCTCAGTGTCTTACCTTCTCCCTAGGAGCTGCTTGGTGCACAGGATGCCACCACTGGAAGCTGTCATCTTCCTCTCCCTCTGGGCCTGTGAGTTGTCCCCATGATTTCAGTCTACCAGACAGACCCAAGAAATTCTTTACTGTTACCTCTTTACCTGCCATTTGTTCATGGAATTTGTTTTTATTTTTGCTTGCAGTTGGCCTTGGGCAGTTAAAGTTGGAGCAGCCTGAAATATCTATTTCCAGGGCAGTCTATAAGAGTGCCCAGATACCTTGTAAGGTGTCTTCTGGCACCTTTAGCAGTGATTACATTCACTGGTACCGGCAGAAACCAGATCAGAGTATGGAACATTTAATGTATGTTGTCTCCA